TACATCTATCTGATGGCATGTATTAGCACTCAAAAAGAATGCTTTTTTTCGCTCGGATTTTTACTGAAAGTAAAAAGAAACTGTTTCTCTTTAAGGATGCAATGAAAAATGCTGTGCGTCAGGTTTCGTGTACAGCATCTTAACTAACTTATTTGAACTTGCTTGTCTGGTTGTTCCAGCGCTGTACATGGTAATGCTGTCTTTTTCATTAACCAAACTTAGCTACACACAGCACGTTTTGGAAGTTCCAAGAAAAGCATTGTTCCCCTCCGCATTCAACCTGCCGACTTTGGAGCAACTTGACTTGAACGAAACGAGCCCTTTCTCAACTCTAAAAGGTTGATTCACACTACCGCGGCCGCATAAGAATAGGTATAAAGTCCAGTCCACACGAGCGATTTTTAAATAATTTTTTTTAACTTTTTATGTGACAATTCTTATTTGCTCGTGTAGATGAGGAAAATTGGCCAATTTTGATATGACAAATACATTTGCTGAAAAGCTAACGTGTTGGCTTTTATGCGACAAAATTTGTCACATACGAAAAATTGCTCGTATAGACGACTCGTCACACAAAATGTGGCAAATATGTTCGAAAGCACCACAAATTAGGGGGGGGGGGACTACTCAGCCTCGCCTTTCGTATCTCCGCTGTCCAAAGTCATTACTGGCGCTCTAAACTTCGAACGGTTTACAAATATTTGCTGTGCTATCTACACCATCAAATGTATTTGTCATATAAAAATTGTCATATAGAAAATTGCTCGTGTAGACGGGGCTTAAGTAGATATAAGCAGAAACAGTATGATGTTGATCATTAGCGCCTTTAACAGCACTCTTCTGCGCCTGCGCATTTTACTTTTGCTTATGCTTGAGCGCTCGTGGAAACCAGCCTTACTGAACAAAGTTATGACGCCTTTGTGAGGGTTTTGAGTTCGCGGAGATCTGCAACTGGTTCGGAAAACACCATTATCGCCCAAAGCAAATTTGTCAGCCAACAAATGCAAACTGCCCGCGCTCGCCTCTGGTTACCAATTGGCTCACTGCTCTTTTTAGAGCGCGGTGAATTCTCGAGTTTCGGCTTTATGATAAAAATAAATATTTAGAAAACTAGTTTGGTTTACGATCACACATTCGTCTCGCGTTGTACTTCTGAGGAATCAGACACGGATATCTCCACCCTCTGAATTCGCTGGGTATCTTCGTCAGTGGAAATGATTTCAACATTTGAATACACTTTGTGCCACCATCGGGTCCTGCTGAGCCGCTGCGCACGCTCTACATCGTAATCCGCTGCCAGGTTGCTCTCGGTCGCAACTGACCCGTTCCTTGTGTTGGCAGGATCGTGCTTCTCGTCCGATTGAGGAATGAATTTAACAGGTGGGATGGGAGGCAAGGGTTTTATGGCTTCCAAGATATCCGGAAACTGGTCGTCTGTGTCTTGAACCGGTAGCCGCTTAGACGGAGAACTGTGGGGTGAGAGCGAGATTGTTACAGACTCTGGTTTTGCTATCGGGGGCGTGAGTGATGCCTGAGAGTCTTGGCGATCGTTGACAGTCTCCACCACTGTATCCTCTGTCTCGAACACCTCCATTTGAAATCTCTCCCCCTGACTCTCAATGACTGCGCTGGTTGTAATATCCACATTACTTTGCACCTCAACCGCTGTGCTTGATGTTGTCCTTTCCGACATCACAGTCGATGTCACAGCTCGAAATTTTTCAAAGCGCCTACGGCCTCCTCTTCCTGCAGACACCTTTCCCGGCCTCACTGTGGTACCTCGTTGGTGTGCAAAAGGGTCCCCGCTTGAATCAACGTCTAAGAGGCCCTTGTCATTGTGACCCTCATGTTCTTCGACGGTTTCCTGCTTCCGTAGAAGCCATTTTTTCCTTTTATCTTTTCCGCCGTGAACGTCGCCGAGAGACGTACTAATAGTTCCTTGATCTTCGTCGAAGCTTGGCGCCGGTGAAAACGAGACCGATTTTTTCGCCTTCCAGCTGACCGAACGCGCCATTGCCGGCACCAATTTTTCCTCCTCAGGATTTGCAGAGGCAGGTTCATCTGGTGCACTGGAAGAGCGTTCCCTGCCCAGTGGAGGCGGCTGTAGCACTAAACGCTTCTTCTCTTCCTTCCACTCTTCCTCCTGTTCCTCTTCGTCCACCTCCTCTAGTCCTGCGGCAGTACGCTTCTGTTTGATGAAGGACAGTTCCTCCAAGAAACGAGTAATAAGCGCGTTACGACAGTTAACCACCAAAGGCGGCCGCGAAATCTTGTCCAGGACTCTCTGCTTTAGAGCACGCTCAGTGCTGCTGTTGTGACGCAGTTGGGTGACCTGGAAGGTAGGTAGGTATTCTTTATTTATCCACGGTATCAGTTCACGTAACATGCTCTTCCATCGAGCCGTGTTTACTTAACTAATTAAATTATCTAAAGTAACTAAATTAACTATCTGTACAGAATTATACTAATAAGAATAGATTTGGTTAAAAATTTAAGAAGCACTAACGACCTATTAAGTCTCTTTGATCGCAGGGCAAAGGTATTGAAGTATTTTTAATCAACCTTTGGGTTGCACATTTGAAAAACTCAATCCATAGCTTTGGGAAAAGGAGAGAACAATAATTATTTCCATAAAATTCGCTTAATGCTATGACAAAATATTCACAAGGCTAAAAAATGGTTAAAAAAAAGTAAAACAAAGAACGTTTTCGACTTTATGTCATCTTTAGGGTCTTAAGTAACTTTAGCCTTATAAATATTTTGTCAATATTTATTTCAATCATGTTATTGGACATTTCAGTGTATTTTGGTTAGTCGGCAGGGCAAGACAATAAAAACGACACATCCAGCAAAGCGTTAAAAGTTCGAACAACAGACTGATAGCCAACTTTTCCCTTTCCTAAAAATCCAGACTTAAAATTCCCTGTTAAGTATGTCACCACCTAAGGTGATAGAACTAACCAATAGAAACGTTTTGGTTACGTTATTCACGCACAGTATATTAGACAAAATAAGACTGTGCACGGTCTTTGTCCTCCCAACATAAATCTTGGCATCTTTGTTTGCTCTTTTGGTGTTTGCCAGGCTTCATAACCATTCCCCTCTATTGTATATGTCGCCATAACGGGAATAAAGTGGGGTATTCTAGTAGTCTAATTGACGAGTTGTTTATACTCTATTAAGCCAACACTCCAAATTCCAATACCGTGGCGGCCAGGATAGAGGAGACGCATGAAAACCAGCCAAGCCTGCTGTGGCTTCCTCTCTAAATGTTGTAATTTATTTATTAAGCAGAGTTGAAATACTAGTAATGCAACGCTCTCTCGTGGTATACCATGGAATATCCCACGAGTCACTTGAATTTCCTCGGTATAAACACGAACCTTAAGCCTTGTGTGTGTATACCAAGAAAATACAAGTGACAAGTGGGATATTCCCTGGTATTCCACGAGAGAGCGTTACATAACTATTTTATACCACGTCATAGAAAATACAGTGGCCAACACAATCAATGTGACACACGAGCGGCGCATGATGGGAAGGTTGGATGTAATATCGTTGAGTATACAACGGCTCTCCTGCATTTCTGATTGGTTGTACTTTCTCTGGCATATGGTATACAACAAATGCTACAGAGGAAGTTATCGCTATATCGTTGATACATTACCTTCGTTCTGATAAGAGGGACCATCAACAGGAACAGAGGGGTTCGGTAAGACACACAGAAGTTCATGAAGTCCCAGAAACCAACGTTACCTGAGAAAAGAGAAAAGTTTGCAAAGATAAGCAGCTTATCACGGTTTTTTGCCATTGCATGATGCAACTAAGAGTATTGGTACTATGGGATGGTAGTTCATCTGACGTAGGGCTGACACTCGAAACATCAGCTTCACAAAACTCGCTGCCGCGGTAACAAGGACACCATCATGAGTACAGTTACAACCTGCGTATAAGAACCTAGGTTTTTTCACGTTAGCCTCATGTCCATAGGATCTTATATAAATGGTGTTTGCTGTGAAATTAGGCTGCCTAGGTTCTTAATCGGGTTCTAAATTCTATATTTTGGCAATAAGAATTGTATTGAATTGTATTGAGATTTTTGCCCAGAATGGTTGTTATGTGAAGGGTGCTTAACTGGGAAATTTTAGCCCAACAGGTTCTTAAATTTAGGTTCGCATACGCAGGTTTTAACTGTATGGCTTCGGAAAGTCAAAACCTGTAAGATATTCTACTTGCTGGAGGCCTGGACAAGCACATAAAACCAGTCTAGTTTTATTAGAGATTACTACACCAGTGCAATGAAGCTACAAAGGCGTGATTCCATGGAAAACGTTTGTACAAGGTAGTGATGTCAAACTGAAAACGTCTGGCGGATGTTCTCAAATTTTGAACCCGTGTCTTAGAAAAATGGCTGAAAGATAATTACCATTTGCTCGAACCTTCAACAAATCACTTAACAAGCAAAACCTTAACAAGCAAAGACGTACCAATGTGACCGTCCACGACTGTTTCCATGGCCTGGTATATCCTGTACCACTCAGTAGCAAGCCGGTCTTCAAAACACACCATGAGCACCTTGATTCCTGTAATCAAAATATAACAACCGACGTGAAAAACACATTTTACTGCTGGGACATTTAGTACAAAATTGCAAGGAATAGTAGATAAGGCAATTAGTTCCCAATGGAACTCAGTTAATCAATACTGGGTTTCACTCAAAGAAAACGAACTGACCCTTATGTGAGTTCGATTGTCCAACTGTCGTAGTGGTTCAATTTAGCGTCTGGGGCGCTGATTTACTTTTGGTTGTTCATGGGAGAGGCGCTAACTGGAGAAAGGGCGCTTATCAGGAACAGGGCACTTATTTTACCAGAATGAGCATCTTTTATGGGTTGGGGGAAATTCTACTACAATAGACGCAAATCGCGCGAAATCACACAAAATCACGAAACGTCACGCGAAATCACGTGTAATTGTCAGAGGAAGTAGACTGGACCGCGCCTTACCGAGATAGGCTGCACAGTATAAGCTCTCTGGAATCTCTTCAGGTGAGGTCTTCCCCTCGTGCGGCGTCGCAAAAGTCAGGGACCGAGGCAGCTCCAGGTTGTCATCAGCAAAAGACAGACGCACTGGGCCTGCGCCGGGGTTGGACGAGTTCTTGGTGGTGACTGTTGCCAGGAAACAACTTAAAGCGTACGAAACATCTTCGAAGGAAGCCTTTGGTGCATCTGAAATGAACACAAATCAAGTACCTGTTAACTACGGTGACTTATAATCCCTAGCCGCGCCCCATCCCCATCAGGACCCGGCTCTTCGAAAGGCGACTAACCCTAACCCAGGACGAAANAGCCTAATGCACGTTGGTAAGATCAGACGCACAAAAATCTTCTCCGTCCTGGTTGGACCGCCGAAGTTAATAGTGTTTCCACATAACTCTTTCAGGGAACACTGCTCCTTCATTACATGCATCAGACGTGAAGTCAGTTTGATCACAGTGTCCGCGAAATACTGGGGCGGAGATAACATTGGCGCGAAAGGCAGGTTGGCGGCGACGGACACAGCGGCCGCGGCGCGCTCTTGAAGGATAAGGCTGCTGCAGATGCTGACAAGGGTCTGAAAGAGAACACGTGACATGTGATAGAGTGAGTGTGCATGCATGTCACACAGCGGTCTAACGTAAAAACCCAACGTAAATCCATTTTTTTTAGTTTAAAACGAAATGTGCGAAACATTTCTGTGGAAACTTTACAACCAAAACAACGAGTACTCACAATACGAGGCAAGACTGGTTGGATAGCGATTGTTTAATATTAACGCCTGACCAGTGTAGTTACTTTTAGTAATTGCCCTAATAACCTCTGTCTTAAAAGAAGTTTGATCACAGTTCTTAGGTTTTGTAACTTGTAAATAGACTAATTTTTAAATTACTCTTAGGCTCTGCAGTTTCTTTTTTAGGTAGTTGTCCTCTATTAGAAGAGGGTTATCCATCCGCTGAGGCAATTCGACGCGTTAATAAAATGATTATTGTTGTATTATTATTATAAACTTAAAACAGAAAATTAGAATATGGAAGCGCTAGTTCTGGGAAGTACAGACGCATATGCTAACGTGACTGGAAAGTGAAAAAAACTGTTAAGCGTGTAAACATTCAGGATTTACCCACAGGTTTAAAATCTAACAATACACGGGCTGCAATCTTTCCTTGTTCGAAGACCAAAGTGATCAGCGGACTACAGAGTCAAAGAGTTAAACTAGAATATTAATATTTAGGACGAAACGCAAGGTCTACCTTCAGATATGGCGGAGCGGCAATGGATGGTCTTTTACAAAGAGTCATATACAGCCCTGAAACAACGGAACGGAAAGCAGAAATCACAAAACTTAACTGTCCAGTATCTTCTAATCTTTACAATAGAAAAGAACTACGACTTTTATAGTTTACCAACAAACGCGTTTTTTAAATAAAGTTAATTCCCCCCCTTTTCACCCACCAGTTAAAAGGATTGCAATAAAAAATTACCGTTAGGAACAAATCAAAAACACTTGCTGGCTAGCCCCTCCGAAAAAGATTAAATTCGGAGACTCCGAATCCGGAGATGTTGACATTTTTTTTCAGCCTATATGAATAACAAGACTTCGAAAAATTACCTTTCAGATAAACTTCTAGGGATTTCCAGTCGATGCATCTCTGAATAAACAATAAAAGAGATTACAGTAAGTGAAATGAATGACACGCTTCCATCGAGGTATTCAACACCAGCGGCTCTTACCATGAGGTCAGGCTTGTTGACGAGTTTCTCGAACATTTTATTGACACGTTTAAGGACAAGCAACATGGCGGCCTCTAAGGCTTCTGGAGATCCCTTCAAGAGTGGTAGCGCGTCCGTCATGTATCTGTAACGTAAGGGAAAAAGTGTTCTTACTATAGGTGTAATGGTTGTTTACCATTTAACAAAAATTCCGGAAATTTCGGTTAGAATATAAATGCTAAGACAATTCTGGCTCCATTGATCGGAAAATTTTCGAAATAAATGGAACATCTTGAAAGGTAGTCCAAAACTGAATTTCCAACCGATATATTCAAATGGAAATGTGCTTATCAATTGCAATTCTTCACCGCCATCTTGGAATTATGATCAGGTCGAACTCGTACTAGTCTCTTTCGGTAAATTGGGGTTTTTTGAGTGAATGGTAAATGGCTACTCCGAACGGAGCTTACAATTAGGGACTTTTGCTTACCATTTGCACAAACCGTTAACGAACCGGTTGCTCCGTACAAATTGTAAACAGCCAATATATTTTTTTAACGCGTTACACGCAGGATGTTCAGATAGACGATTACAAACTCTCGACGTAAGACATTTTTAAAGGTAGAATACAACGCAGGGTTACACTAGAACTCTCTTACCGTTTCACTCCGAGACAGGAAAGGGTCACGTGATCATACACTGCCAGCTTCAACAGTGAGTAAACAATCTGGGCGAGGGTCTGGACGGCAGCAAAGAGAATAGAAATGCAGTTTAAAAAGCCATTCAGCTTTACAATTCGCTTTACATACAATAACTAAAATAAGAAGGAATTTAACTTAAACACAGAACCGTTTATGAAAGAGTGTTGATTATCAGACTGACAGACCTACACCCCTGGGGGAGGGGGTGTTTTGTAACTAGAGAGGCTCCAACCAAAGGTTGATGGAGATTTCAGTGGCTTGGAACTTATCACCCGGGCTTCTTAGCTTATATCTGGGGCGGGGGAGATGTAATTCAATGGTTCTCTGGGTCTACTGCAAGGGGACTAGTTGAGACTAGTTTTGCTATCCGACTAATGGACCTACAAACTGTATTACTGGAGGGGAGGAAGGGGTATATAACAAGGGGAGATCTTGTTTCTAACTAACGAGCCTACGACAGACGAGAAGAGCTTGTAACGGGACCTACATCTGGAAAACCTAGTAGATGTGATCATATGGTATGTTAAGGGTTTGCATGCTTTTGTTAGATGATCAATAACAACTCTTACGTTTACACTGATGTGGTCAAGTAGTTCAGGAACAGTGTATCGAGGAGGTAATGACGCCTCCTCCAGCTCCTCCAGTCGCGGAGCACAGATCCGAATGAAATCAGACACCAGGATCAAGAGAGCGTTTCTCGGCTTGCGGTACTCCTCTAATGCCTGCATGACCTCATCTTTCTCCTCCTGAGCCCGCAGTCTCTCCAGAAATGGACGCCTCCCTTAAAAACATGCGCAGAGTCAGGATCGTTGCATGACTAATACTCGCACCAAATAAGGGGCTAGGTCACAAATGACAAATCTCAAGCATAAATTTCCACTTTTGTAGTTCCTAATCAGTCCAATCACTGTTATTGCTTTAGGTCTACAGTTACCTTTTTGATGTTAGTTGACCTTAAGCCCAAACCTCACTTGCGAAGCAAGCATAAGCATAAACATGAGCATAAGAAGTTTATGCGCTGGTGAGGACGGCTGTGATATAAGCATAAGCATAAGCGTTCTTCTTATGCTTATGTCGGTGCTATGTTTAGTGAGGACATGGTTTGCATAAGCATCAAGTGCTCACTGGTTGGCTGAAAGTCTTTTGCTTATNGCGCGGGAAAACGCGTGCGAACGAGTCAAAACAGTTTTGTCCAGCGTACTAAGGAAAAGCACCCCTATCCCCAGGGTTCTACTGGAAAAGGACAATTTTCCACTTACCCAGCTCCCCTTCGTCTGCAGCACTTGGCGCTTCATTACTGCTAATGCTTCCTCGGCCGAACATGAGTGACGTAGTGGAAGCCAGATCAGGAAATATACCACTCCCCTTGTCCGTAAAGGACTTGTAGCTTTGAAAGTGAACAAACGACCTAGAAAAGTAATATGACAAAACAGAGTTGAACACGCAATGATACCACAGCGGCATTTTAAGTTTTTTTTTTTAGAAAGCTTGAAAGTCAAAAACCGCCCAATGAACCCCACAACAATAAAACGTTTTGCACAGTTTGAAAAAATGTTATGTTGAGGGGGTTCAGAGCCACCTTAAAGTTTCGAAAGTTTGAAACAGTTCTGGACCACCATGACTAAATTTTTCGATAAAGATTTGTCTACTAGTTAGCGCTATACACCCACACTTAACAACATGGGCAGGGAGTACAAATGGGCACAACAGAATCCTGACTAAAGGCAACCTGACTAAAGGTTGCGTGCTTTTAAGTGGCTGAAAATTACGAAAGACTGTTGCTAATTGGCAGCTACGCTTACTCCAAGTTACAGGCTTCTCAACACAAACAATTTTAAGGAGCTTTAGCAAAGACGACGCCTACGCCGAAGGCGACGCCTTGTATAAAACGGATTTATTTTTTAACTTCGAATGTCGCACCTTTGCTCAGGCTAAATATGTTATGACAGGGTTCAATTCCAAAATAAGACACGAAACATTTGCCATTGCGGTTCACTTTCTCCAAAATACGCAGAGCTTGGTTATTTCACATTGGATTTTTTGCAGATGATGGGTAAGAATTGCACCAAGATCTAAAACGCACGTGCATAACCATTGTTCTGCTCATCAAACCTTTAGCTCGATGACGTTCTTGTTTACGTCGCCGTCGTGGTTTGCTAAAGCTTTCTAACGTTGTTACTCAAAGTACTTTCTCTGATCTTATCTAACCTGGTAAGGACCTCTGAACTCTTAATCAGGACATTAATAGAGGTGACAAGAGAGGACAGGCCCGTCAGCTCGCCCTTGAGCTTCTCTTCATAATCAAGTGAACTGCTGTCTGTTCTTAGGTACTCCAAGTAGTGAGGTAAGATGGCTGACAGCACTACCTGAAAATAAAATGAATGGCTTTCAACTTAGAACACCAAAGAGGTTTTTTTAAATGCAGAATGCAAAGAAAACCAATTTTACCATGATGTACAAACCCGAAAGTCATACCCACTAGCCACCAAAAAATTTCCGCTCCCACAGTACTTCTATAATTTGAATCTCATTAAAAATATTCGTAAGAAACGTCACTTGCTCGTCGGGCAATTGAAGGATAAAATCCACTAGCTTGACTACAAACTCCACTAACCGGGCTATTAGACACGACTAGACACGACTAGGCACGACTGGGCACGACTGGGCACGACTAAACACGACTAGACACGACTAAACACGACTGGGCACGACTAGATCGTCTGTCGTTTCACGTCGGCAACGAACGAGAAATTTGTCGTTAAGTGGATCAAAAGGTAAAAAAAGATAAAATGTCAACATAATACTGACTGTTTCAATTCAAAACATTTTGACTAAGGAAAGGAAACGTATAACAACAATGAGCACACACCACCATCTGCACTGCTCTTTTCGATTCAGGCGCAAAGTTCACGACAGTGACGCACAGGCGAACAGCAGTGTCGATTTGACTAACACCGGGAGGGTCGGTAGAAGATTCGTAACACGAGTCCTGAAATAAAAAATAAACCTTTCGTCGATCACACTTAACAGCACTATAGAGCAGCTTTCTGCCACTCTGGAATTAATTACGTGTTTCGTTTGGTGCTGCTTAGCAAATGGTTGAAAAGAGTAGTGTTTTAACCAATCAGAGTAAAGACGTTTTCTTCTCGGCCAATCAAAGAGAAACCAATTCTCAGCTGGGTTATGTCATCGACAGGGTACGCCACAAATTTTGCTAAGCAACACCACATATCCTTCCAAAACTTCCAGAGAACTGACATTTTTATGTTCAATAACAAGGATTGGAAAATGCTTCAAGAGAACTTCTACAAATTTATCCAGATGAAAGGAAGAGTGTCAGCAAGAAATGTTTCAATCCTTACTGTAGGTTTCAATGGCTTCTCGGCTTGCACCAGGTCCAACACTTCCAGGCTGTCAGGTGAAGGCTTGTCTAATGACGTCAGCAGAGTAAACAGACACTTGGGAGGGATCTGGGAGTAAGGAAAGTTACGTCATATAATACATTTAATGACGTCGCCAAACCATTGTTTTGTTTTGACTAGTTGGTACAGATTTATTAACTGAAGAATTAAGAACTTGTGAATAAAATGCTGTTAGTTTTTTCATAACGACTGAATAAAAAAATTCTGAGTCCCCGTAGAGGTTCCTAACCATAATCTTTTGCCCACCAGTCAAATGCTCTGAGCACTCAGCTAAGGGAGGCTTAAGGAGACCTAGGACAGTGTTCCAACTCCCGGACTGCCATACCTACCAGAAGATTTCCATGCTTTCCAACTTCTTTGACCAGACGCTTTAGTAAGAACTTTTCTTAACAAGGCATGACTCTAGAGCCAAAAAAATCCAATTGTTGACATACAAATTCTTCTCAAAGGAAGCGGTAAATTTCCTTCCCACTTTGGTAGGAGAATTCAACTATCAATATCATCACCTCTTGGTGACCAGTTGTCATATTCTCCTGACTGCAATTTTGAATTCTACAAAGATAAGTAAGAAGAACTCGTGTGTTGAATTGAGAATTTATAGGAAGCTCACCTTGCCGGAGATGTCGTCGACTTCAGATTCCTCTTCGTTTCGATCAGATCTTGTCTCTAAGAGGAGTATCGGTGCTACGCTGGCGAAGAGCTGCGAGAAAGAAGAATGAATAGGTACGCTATGAGTATATGAGTGGGAGGGCTGGTGGGTTAATGATTAGTTGATTCTAGATCGACAGGTGTGAGCTCCTGGTCGGGATCATTGTGTTGTGTTCTTGTGCAAGACACTGTCACGGTGCCTCTCTCCACCCAGGTGTAGAAATGGGTATCGGTAAATTGCTATATGTCAGCGACTAACCAAGCGATGGACTAGCATTACACTCCCAACCAGAAAAGTTTCCACAATAATACCATAGATGTAAAATGGACCGGTACGACCTTCCCGGAAAAACAAACTTAGATATTCTCAAGCTCACTAAAACAAGTATATGGCTCAATTATCTTTTACTTCTGCATTACAAGACACGACACGATAAACTACCCTGTATTGACGAGTATTCACTACCCTGAGAATACATCATAACAGCTCTGTGTGCAGGTAAATAGTAGCTTCCGATAGTAAAATATTGTTCGTATAAAGTGCGGCACAAAATGTTTACTTATGATAAAAGGGAGCGAGAGAGAAGGGGGGAGCGATTGGCAACACCCTCATCCCCCACCCCCAAGAAACGTACCTGGAGTAGACAAGGCTTTTGATGTAAGACATAGAACTGTTTCATTGCAAACTACAAATGAGAAAAATAGCCGTGGTCTATTCATTTATCACAGGTAATCAAAGACTCAACACTGGTCAGAAATCTGGGGATACTGCACGTTTTGCCTGTAAGTGGTGTTTGTCACCACCTGCCCCTCCCCTCCCACGATCCATTATTGATTCTCACTCATCACACCTAGCTACAATATTTTACTACTGTGTGGATGAATAGGGGGCAGCCGGGAAATCGAATAATGACTTCTGACTTCATAAGACACGGTCGGTACTTTGTGAGATGTCTCCAGGACTCTCCACCAAGGCGGTACGTCATGATGTACTGAATCATTTTTTGCGGTGCACGAATTACCTTCGTATTGAAAAAAAAAACAAAACAAAGAAATCACAAAAGCAACGATAGATTCACAAAATCCTTGCAGCAACCGCATTCTCAGATGAGAAGCAACAAGAATGGCTACTATACAGGAGCGGAATTGAAACAATAACCTTGAAAATTGGATGCTAGATTTTGTCAAAGTTGCTACTATAAAGTGGCCTGGTAAATGTCATGTCAAGCTTAACGCAAAATTCAGCAAGACAAAGCTTGTTACTTCCGTTAGCTTTGCAAGGCCATGCGATGCAATATAATTATCAAAGACGTCTTACTCTCTCATCTCCTGCCTACTTAAAGGAGCTACGTCACGGTTGGCGCATATTGAAAAGTTTAGCCTCAATTTTTCAAATTCGTCGTTTGTAATCCGTGTTAATCTTCTCCATCCTTAGNCCATCCTTGTTCCTTTATGGTTTATCATTATCTCTTTGGTGTTTTTCTATCTTATTAAACTGTTATTTTCAGGTTTCCTACAGTTTAAAGGTAATTTTGTATGTGGCCAAAATAACTCAAAATATCATGACTGAGCCCCTTTAAATTGGTTTAACACTGACAGTTATGAAGTCATCACTAACCTCAATAGCTGTAGTGACCATTTCGTTTGATTGGTGATGTGAATAGACTTGAAGCAGAGAAGGAAAGATGTGTTGATAGCTGCAGCGATCAAAAAACACCAGGGTTAGCATTCAATTTTACAATTTAGTGTCAGTCGTTGTAGTCAGCTTTATAGAGTATGCAAAGAGTGAACATGATGGAAATACAGGTTATATAAAACAATATCCCTCAGGGATCTCCATAAAGGTCGGAAAATTTAATTAAATATTTATTTATCCTTATCCTTAAAAGTTAGCACAATTCCTTGGCTCCTTTGCAGGCGTTACTTGGGTCGTCACCCAACGCCACTTGCCGGGAGAGAAAACTGTGGCGTGACAAACCCAGATAATGGCTACAAAGCTGACGAGTAGTCAATTTCCGGTAAAGCCAGGATTACCATCTTGTTCGCTGGTGCTTAGAGGAGGATAGTGCTGCACGCAGAAGAAAGTAAACTTGAAAGGTATCTTTGCTATTCATGTTGTCCTTTAAGTTCTCTCGACGCATTTATTTTCTGCCACTGTGAAAGAGATGCTACTACTCCAGCCCCCACCTCCTCCTCCCCCCGTCCCTCAAAAAAAAAAAAATGCCAGTCGCTTCTCTGATTGGCTTGTAAATTTTCACGCGCAACTGGCATCCAATCAGAGAAGCTACAGAGGTCTATAAAGTATTACGTCATTAACCTTCTCGCGCAGACGTAAAGCGTTTCCTTTTTCTGGCTAAAAAAACAAACAAACAAACAAATTTGGAGATTACGCTGAAATTCCCAGACTGTAAATTAGTACAAAGGCCCTTACCCATCGCTAGCAAATATGTGGCTGAAATGAACGGCAATGTTTATAAAGGCAGCCAAGCAAATCCGTAACATGGCGCCGTCTTCGCAGTGAAGTAAAATGGCGCCGTTAATGACGTTTAGGAAGAGATTCAGGTCCGCAGAGCTCCATGGGAAATCCGTTGACATGCACTGGAAGAGTGACGTAATCAGCTGAAAATGAATCACAGTCAAATGAACCTGTGGTCAAATAGCGGATGAAATGAACACCTATGAAAGACTTGTATTCTTGGTAGAATTAGCCAATACACTTCTCTGTATCTCTCTTCCCTTCCATTTCTCTTGAGATAGAAGGGAAGCCCATTACATGTAAGATCTACCAAGCAAGGCAAAGTAAAGCAAATAAGAACAGAGCAAAGCAATTCAACAAAGACGCGAAGCAAAGCAAACTAGAGCAAGGCAAAAGCAATGATTACAATAAGCCACAGAAGGTTATGGATGGAAAACAGCGGGTTTCAAATTCTATCACACTCACGAGAAACTGTTTTCGTGTTCGAACACCATGTTTCCATGTCGTCAAGAAAACATGAAGTCATTTCATCATTTCATAATATTTTGCCTATGCTATAGAAGTTACATTTAAGACAAGGGATTAGCTTACCGTAACCCAGACACTTTTATGAATGACATCAAGAGCTGCAAGTTCCTGAAGACAAACAAGAATGCTGTAGTTTATTACGAAAAAATCGTTAAACTCGAAGTCCGGGATTCCTTTCCTCTCAACAACTAGACTGTTCAGAGCCTCTCTATTTACCCACGTGAAAGAAAAAGCGAGCGAAGCAAGCGCGTAGCACGCGGGGGTGGGGGGTGGGGTTTGCGAGCGAAGCAAGCAATAAATCGAGGTCCAAACCCCCTACCCAGTCAAGTCTTCCTTTTTGCGCTGGCGTCCACTTCTCAGGCGATTCTATCCGTGCGTTCAACGATCGGAGAAAAATACGGGAAAACAGAGGGCTTTGATCAGTCTACTCAACAACGGTTTTTCCGGAAAGCACTCCTTCCTTAGTAGTTTGAAAGATTTTAGTAAGCATTGCAAGACCCTCGTATAATATGCACTGAGTTCTGTACAAGTTAAACATAGTTTTGTAACTTCTTCCACTGGCTATTAGAACACTGCTGTAATATTTTGACATTTTCAGTTATTGTATTTGTTTCATGTAACGTTTCTTGTACTTAGCTCATGAAACACGTGACGCGATATAGCCAATCAGATGCGAAGACATTACCTTTTCGTCCAATCAGGAGCAAGACCAAAAAGCCCTTACAGTTCGCTACATGTTGGTGTTTCGAGTGTCGGTTAGCTTACAGTATGTGATGCTTTTTAACGACCATTGTGATTGCTTCCGCAATTACCTTGCTTTTCTTTTAACACTTCTAGAGCGTTTTTCACTTGATTGTCAAAATTAATTCGCTTCAGCTTTGGTTTTTGCATTACTAGGCGTTGTGATTGGTTTAAAAATCTCGCGCCACTTTCTCATCCGATCAGAGCTAAAACCAAAACCAATCGCGACTGGCTCGTGCACTTTTTCCCGCACTTTGTTTAAGCTACATGTACCTGCGTCGAATTTTGATTGGTTCACTGGATTGTCTTTGTGATTTGTGATTGGCTAGAGTAATTACATGCACTTTGATTTTGGTTTTACGACACTCAATTGAAAACCACTCTGTTACAAAGGTAATGGAACGTAGTTTAACAGATACAGAAACATAATCATCTTACAGCGCCCTTGGTGCCGCCCGCATACAAAGAAAAATCACAGTCAAGAGCTTTGCGGGGAAAAGAGATCTGACGGCTGAACTCTCCGTGCAGGAATGAGATGTGTTTCTGGAAAAGAGAAAAATAGCTTTACAGTTAAACTGTAGTAAGGGTTTCAAATACAAGAGACATTGTAATCATTCTAAATTGACGTTCACTGGTAATAAACGGTTACCTTGCAGTCGTTTGGAGCTTAGATTTAAACAGTAACGCAATAACTTCCTTGTCAACACAGCTACAAGTTAATTGACTATAATTAATTATTATTGCTCTCATTAATTGCAGTAGACAAGGAAATTATAAAAGTAGCCAACTTTAACGGGGGGTTTGCAAGTCACCTGATTGGGTAAGGCGTTCAACATTGATGACGTCAGAAGAACTCGACCAATTTCTGCTATCTTGGTTGTAAATGCCTGCAAAAGAAAGCAAACGGAAAATTAAGAGAAGAGAAGAGAAGAGACAAAACTCACGGTTCTAAGAGTGTGTTGTTTGGTAGCAAAACGAAGGGGTAACGTTATTAACGCCATGGAAATAAACCTTCTGAAAAGGTTGGGCCTGATCTGAACAGAACTTTAGCAGCTCTCGCAAGCTTATAATTCTTTGGCTTGTTAGCAGCTGTTATTGTTTTGGGGCTAGGGGCTTTCTTCTGTTCTCCTCTCAAAGGGTATATACATGTATCAAGCCCTTCACGTGAGACCTTTTGTACGAGAGCTGTTACCCGAACTGACCTGAGCGGCGACGGACACATATTACAAACGACCGAAACAAAGTCCTTTACTTTTAAAGGAGCTCCGTCACGGTATTTTGGCCACGTACAAAATTACCTTTAAGTGGTACGAAACCTGAAAATAACAGTTTAATAAGAAAAACACCAGAGATAATGATAAACCATACAGGAACAAGGATGGCTAAGGATGGAGAAGATTAACACGGATTACAAACGACGATTTTGAAAAATATAGGCTAAACTTTTCAATATGCGCAAACCGTGACGTAGCTCCTTAAAGCAAACGAGTGCAGTTCGGTTGATGTACCTGTGCTTGTCTCTTGTTGAACGCAAACTCCTGGTCCAAAAACTCCAACACCAACAGGGGACTGGGGAAGCCCTTACGGTGCGTGTACACGTCACGCACGTGGTCTCGTTCCTCGAGTATCTGATCTGAAAGGCAATAAAACATGATAAGATTTATCAATGAACAAAGCCCAAACTACCACGAATGTCACCACAATGCATAGAGTCTTTATCAGTTAAAAGAACGGCCAGATGAGCAAAATGGGTTACTGGTACACGGGTTTAACGTCGTTGTCAAAAGAAATAGCTGCTTCCCTTGGGTGGAAAGCTTTCTCATAGCATGCCAACTCCCTACATTTTGTTCCGGTGTCCTACCATGGACCCATTTGTACTCAAACGTGAAGCCGTGCATTCATTTTGTTTTCGAAAGCTGGCAATTTCCATTATAATACCTAGCTTGCTCGAGCCGTACTGGGAAATATTGGTCCCCGATCGTTTTTGTACAGACCTCGCTGCGCTCGGTCCGTTCTGTCACGACCTCGGACCAATATTCCCCAGTACGGCCCTCGCGCTCGGTTAATAAATGATAAATATCTCCACCCACCTGCTTTTTTATCAGTAAGATATAATTCTTTTCCTCCATCAATGCCCGGGAATCGAGACTTGAATGCCTCCAGTACTTTACCAAATGTCATTTCCTTCAAATAAAAAAAAGTTCGGTGAGACATACGAGTTATCAGTGAAATCATGTGGAAGGAAAGTTGGGGAGGTAGGTCGTCACACAAAAGACTTGGAACGGGATTCTGCTTGAACAGAGCCTGCTTCTTTTTATGCTTGAACATAAAAAGAAGGCGTGTGTGTGACCGAGCGGGGTAAGGAGGGGGGCGAGGACAACCCGCCCAACATTTTATTTTCAACTGCGAAAAGGACTGGTATTAAAGGAAGCTTACATCATGTACGGGCACTGTCTCTTTGGTTTTCTCTGGATCTTTGTCGTCGTCTTCATTGTTGTCTTGATCGGGAAGTATAACGCAAAGTTTCTAGACAAAGAAAACAAAACATCAACCCAGCGGATTCCTAAACATAATTTATGAAGTTAAAGGAAAATTGTTCCCTTTGACGTAAAAAGCTTAAAGAACCCTAGTCAGCCACACAATTGTTTTTGTTTACATGCGAGAGCATGGCTATTATATTATATTCGGAGCCTGTCGAAACGAAGGAAATCACTGTGAAACTACAAAATGTGGCTAAATATCATTTAGGCAAGGTTAAACTCGAGCTAATGCAGCCAGCTAGTGTGCCCATGCAGCTAATATCATTTAGGCAAGTTAAATATGAGCTTATGCAGCCAGCGGTTTCCGCGTTTGGGAGTACGTGACCTGTGGGGCGGCCTTCAGGGGTTTT